AAATCCCTAGTTTGAGAAATTTGGAGAGGAAACACTTGCCCTTGCTCAGACAAATGGAGAAAGCCGGAAGAAACGTTGCAGCCAAGTATCCGGAATCCACTTTCAAGTCAGTGCGAAAAACCGTTTCAATAAATTGTTTTTGCCTGATTTCTGATTTTTTTTTTCATGTTCGCTATCGTATAGAATCGGTTACCACGCATTGCCGAGCATGTCCCAAGTGCATCTCCACGTAATCAGTGACGACTTCGTGTCGGCATGCCTGAAAACGAAAAAGCATTTCAATTCCTTCGTCACTGAATTTTTCAGGAGCACTGAGGATGTGATGAAAGAACTCGAGTCCACGGGAAAAGTGAAGCTCTTGTCGTCTGACGAGGCGAAAGCATTCATGGACACACTGCTCCAGTGCAATCAGTGCTCATTCGTCGCCAAGAATATCCCGCTGTTGAAATCTCATTTAGAAAGTCATTTGAAAAGTAAAATGAAAGGTAACAAATCCTCGTGATCTTGTATTCTCCGTTCAAGTAATTTNTAGAAAGTCATTTGAAAAGTAAAATGAAAGGTAACAAATCCTCGTGATCTTGTATTCTCCGTTCAAGTAATTTTTTCGAGGACCGACATCTGCTCCGGGAAGAATAAATACTGCAATGGTTTGTGATTGTCCGCACGTCACTTTCCTGATTTTATTCCATTGTTGTTCTGGGGTATATGTCATGAGTCCATTGGATCCCAGACAAAGAACTTTAATGAGAACTCAAACTCTTTTCCAAGGATATGTTTGGAATGGCAGAGTCAATTGTCAGATTGGTTGGTTAGCTCAGAAGCATAAATAAGTTGATTTAAGTTAAAAGGCCCTTTTAACACAAGATTCTCACTTCTCCTCTCAGAGGAATAAATGCTATTATAGCCAGGTGCTTGGACTGGGTCAGGAAGAAATCAGGCAATTTCTTTGTGGCTCAGGAATGGCCAATTGTTGTAAAATTGAAGTGTGATGACCACCTCTTGGCCTTGAGTGAGGCTCAGTGAGTCTTGCAAATGGTATTTTTGTGAGGCTCACTGGCCTCAAAATACAATGAGTTTTCTTGATGGCCAGATGCTGGAGCTGCATTTGGGACATGACACAGTACGCAAAAAGTGAATATAAAAGTAAGGGTTCTCTCAAAGAGTATTCCCAGCCCATGGTCTGTGGGCCAGTGCCAGTTGACAAAAGTTTTTTTGGGGGTCTGTGAGAAATTTTCTTCAGCATAGTAAATTCAACAGAAGTAACAATGAAGTCTCATCTTGATCTGAACTTTTGGAAAGACAACAGTGGTTGAAATCATTTGATCGCAAATAAAAGTTGGCTTTTCTCCAAATAGAACTTCTGACACATTTTCACCTGCTGAATGAGGAACCATTTCAATTTTTCATTTTGAGAAATCTGTCTTCAAGCTCACCTTTATAATCTTTTTCAAGACATTCATTTAAAGTTTCTTCATAGGTTCCTAACTTAGTTTTTGCAAAAATTAGAAAATTTTTAAATACCTGCTGACACAAAGTTAAAAAAAACTTCTTTGAGTCCACAAAAAATATGAAACTTTGAAATACTGTACTAGAAAATATTTTTGGTCAGTTGCTGGGCAAAAGAAAGTTTTTATAAAAATTTGCCGGTCTGTGGGCCCAATAGGTTGGGGAATGCTGCATCTAGAATTTAGTACTGTACAGTATAAATAGTTTTAAAACATGCTTCCTTGACATTTCAGCACAAATTGCACCAATGGGAAATTAAGAAGCTTAATGTTCATTAATAAATAATGTCAAACCAAGTTCAAAACTGTGAAAAATGAAGTGCATCAATCCTTAGCAGCTTAATCAAACTGGCACTCTAGAAAATTATGCTGAGCCACTTTTATAATTTTCAACTGTGTATCTGTGATATAAGAGTCACTGCTCGCATTTTTCAAATATACTGTACAATGATTGAGAAATTCATTATGACAAGAGTGTACTCCCACAAAAAAATTGCATCATGC